CATTGTGGCCAGCTTTTATTATTACATTAAAGGTGACCACTTGGGCTTGGAGGGGACACCTCTTTTGTGGACTGTAATCCTAATTCAGAATTTTGAATCAGGATTACACTCCAGAAAAGAGGTGTCCCTTCCAAGAGGCCTGCGGGCAGAGCACTGCCCTACCTCCTAGGCTGAGAGGCTCTGTGTTGCAGAAGAATCCAGTTAGGCTTGTGTCTGGTCACATGTGTGGACTCCCAGTCACGACTGGTAAGTAAGACCCTGAGTCAGAGGAGGTGGCAGCAGCACTCTCTCTTCTTCCTCACTCTTATTTTTGGCCTTGTTGATGTTCGATATGTCAAGATAGATGAAGGCGTTACCGGTCTGATGGACATGAGCAGCTTATTTATAGACTGAAATTCTTTAGGGTGAGCATTCCATGGTGCTGGTGGGTGATGGGGAATCACTTTCCTTCCCTGAGGAATCACAAATGGGTGTGTTCATGGAGACTGAGACCACAGATGCAGGCAGCAATGACTTCTGCCCAGAACCGTTGTTCTCACATCCCTTTCTATTGATAATCTCCCGCCAGCCGCACCATCCCCAGGCCGGACCCATAACCTGGCCTGGCCACTCGTAATTCTCTTAGGGCTGAGACTGACTCAAGGGCCCAGAGACGACAGTTTCCTCTTTCATGAAAGGATATGTAGAAAATAATCTCTTGGTCCCTTTCAGATTTAGAGTATCGGGAAGTTAAAATACAATAGAAAAAGAAAACTTCAAATCCCCTAAGTATCAACCACAGGACTTCTTTTTTGCTTGAGACAATATATGCATAGTGATTAAGGGAGCAGCCTTTGGAATGCAAAGACCTGGTTTCCAATCGTGGCTTGTCACTTAATGTGACCCTGGGCAAATTTCTTTTCCTTTATTCTTTTTTTTTCTTTGTTAGACAGGGCCTCATTTTGATGCCCCGGCTGGAGAGCAGTGGTGCGATCATGGCTCACTGCAGCCTGGAACTCCTGGGCTCAAGCAATTCTCCTACCTTGGCCTCTGAAGTAGCTGGGCCTACAGGTGCATACCACCACAACTGGCTAATTATTTTCTATGTTTTGTAGAGATGGGGTCTGACTATGTTGCCCAGGCTGGTCTCAAGCTCCTGTGCTCAAGAAATCCTCCCACCTGGTCCTCCCAAAGTGTTGAAACAACAGGTGTGAGTCACTGTGCCCAGCCAGATTTCTTTGTCAAAGCTCCTCTTCCCTCATCTGTGAAGTGGGGAGTAATTGTTGCACCTTCTCCCTCAGAGCTCAGCAATAGAAAGTTATGTAGGAGTTGAGGTAGATGGCATGGGGAAGGCATGGAGGTCACATTAAACAAAATCATGTATGAGGGAGAGATTAAACAAAATCATGTATGAGGTTGCTCAGCACAGCTCCTGGGACATAGGAAGCATTTAAATCCATTAGCTACTATTTATTATCTGCTCTTTTAAAGAACCTAAAATACAGAGATGTCTGTGGAAGTGCACAAAGCCTCTCCCAGCCCACAAAATTCTGTGTGGAAAAGGTCACAGAGGTTTCAGCTGCTCGTCTCACCCCAAAATAGAGTCAAGGCCAGTGCTCAGATAGCAACTACAGTTTGCTTCAAAATGTAGCATGATTCAAGAAATAGAATTTGTCACATTCAGTAGGACTCAGCCAGACAAGGTTTTGACTGATGAATGGTGTTTCCCAAGGTAAGAGGAAGTAATTTCTTGGCGGGGGTCCTAGAAGGAACTAGGTCAAGGAGAGCTCAGTCCTTCTCTCTGGTGATGGCCTTAAGCGAGATGGCTCCAAGAAAGCGGGCAGGAGCAAGCTAGGGGTCCTCATCTGGTCACACCGTGGGGATGCTGTGATCCTGTTACAATCACACTGTCAAGATGTCACCCCAAGACCCAATCTTACCCTCTGGCCCTTGCTAGAATGAGAAAGATGCAGCTTCCTTGATCCAGGAGGAGCCTGGGGAGTCTGCTGCAAGGCCTATTCCCACAGCATAGATTGGCTGCTTTTTTTTTTTTTTTTTTGACGGAGTTTCACTCTTGTTGCTCAGGCTGGAGTTCAGTGGTGCGATCTCAGCTCACTGCAACCTCCGCCTCCCAGATTCAAGCCATTCTCCTGCCTCAGACTCCCAGTAGCTGGAACTACAGGCCTGCACCACTCCGCCCTCGTGATCTGCCCATCTCTGCTTCCCAAAGTGCTGGGATTGCAGGCGTGAGCCACCTCACCCAGCTGGATTGGATTCTTTTCTTTTGAAGTGCCTAGTGTTCAAGAGTCCTTCATCCAGTTAAATTATTCTTAATGTTATAACTGCTATTAGGTTGGTGCAAAAGTAATTACGGGTTTTGCCATTAAAAGTAATGGAAAAAATTATACAATAGGAAATACTTATATAGTAGGAAAAGAAGACATAGAGGAAACCATCTTTATCACCCCGCTACTCCTATAATGTGAGTATTACATTATTTCTGGTTCCCTTTGGGCCTTTGCTCAGATGACTACCTGGTTTTTATATAGATGAAACCATCACAGAAATTCCATTTTGGATTTTTACTTATTAAGCTTTGGAAACAACACTTGTCCACTTCTTATTTTCTATGGTAAGAAAAGCATGTGAGCCCTCTGTCTACGATTGGCGTGGCCAGCCTTGCTGTGGAGAGTGCAAGGCCCGACATCCAGCGAGGCCCCAGGCAGTTCTGCTCAGGATCCTTCTTCCTAGGAGCTGGAGACAACCTGGGGGTGTTTCTCGAGTGGCTCTGCTTAAGGCGGATTAGTGATTCACAAAGTGGTGACTGTTGATTTCAGAATTGTCCCCTGCTAGATCCTGTCCCCTCCCTACTGCCAAACCCTCTCACCTCAGTTGTGAGGACATTTTAAAAGAAACGGGGGTATTTTTAGGGGCAGGAGTTTCAAGGTTTGGCATTTTCATCATTTTAGAAATTGTTACCTTGCTTTGTGTATAAAATTTGATTTTACTCCCTTCCCCTCCGTCTTCTTGGTCTTTGCCTTTCTTCAAAATAGGCATCTAGAGGCTTCTTATCTAAATATCAGATCCTGTCATCTCTGTCAAGCTTCAAACTGTCCTGGAAACAGTTCCGTAGCGAATCTCCTAGCCTGCCTCTCCTGCTGAGAAGAGACACATCCTGTAGATTCATTCTGGCTTTGGACGCTAGAACCACCCTGCAGCTGGCACTGTGGTTGTAGCAATAGCTGTTGTACCCACTACAGAGCTAATTGCCTGACGATGTGGGGCTCCTGAGAAAGCTGAAGAAGGGACCCTGGGGTGATCGGCCCCTAGAAATGGATTCTTGAACAAAGGAAGGAGGGTGAAGTCCTCCTATTCCCTTGGAGAAGAAGAGACTACCAGGAAGGCAGGGCGCTCACCCTTCCATCTGGCTGAACTCTGCCAAGCTTCTGGACCCAGAATGAACTCAAGGGGCCAGCATGTGTACCCCAAGTAGGTGCCCCATAAGTTACCCCACTGTCCCCTAAAAAGCTTTCTTTCCCCAGATGTGTCTATAAACCTCAGAGCCCAGAGTGGTTGAGGTTTTTCTTTTCTTGAGAGGCTGGTCATATGTCGTTTCTCTGAGACAGCCCAAGTTTATGCCTGTCATCCTTGCAGGTTTATTAATAATAAATGATGTGATATAAATGATAAGGTCACCCTAGGTTTTGATGACCCCCATATGAGACTAAGATGTCTAACACTAAGAGAGTTGTCACACTTGGAGGAAAAAAAATCTGCATGGAAATATTGATAAGCCTGACATTCAGAGACGGTGACACAGAGGTAGCTACAGTGATGCCATGACAGGAAGACTGGTGTCTCTCTTCTCTTGCCCATGAGAGTGTGACTCTAAAGCCAGACTAATCTGTAACGATGTTGTGAGTTTTTTTTTTAGTTGCCATGAATCCCAGGTTTCAAGTTTCGTAACCTGAGCTTGCCCAGATAAACCCAGTATGCACCCACAGGCGAAACCTAAGTGCTCAGACCAAGGATGGGGACCTCATTAAGAAGCGGATGCCACATGGCATGATCCATGATCCAATGAGATCAAGCCCTGGAATCACTTCCTGGTATGAACCAGTCAGATCACATCTCCTGGCATAACCTCACTGCAAGATCCAATCTGATTATGTCTCATTGCCCTCTGCCTGTAAAACCTCTTCTAGCCCCCAGCTCAGGGAGACAGATTTGAGCCAGGCTCCTGTCTGCTTGCTTGGCAGCCTTGCAGTAAACTTTTCTTTGTGCAAAAGGCTGATGCCTTGGTGTCGACTTTCCATTGCATGTGGGCAGACAGACCCAGGTTGGTTTGGTAACAACAGCAGAGTCTGAGCAGCAGGAGCATTCAGGGTCTGGGGGCGGAGCCACGGGAAACAGAGTTGTTGAACAGGGCCAGCAGCAGCCTGCGGTGAGGATTGGCAGCCAATCTCTATTTCTCATAAATAGAGAGGGAAGGGGCTGAATTCGGATTCAAAAAAGACTCAGTGGGGGTGAGGCTTATATAATTTTGGGGTGGTACCCAATGCCGTGGCTTTCCGAGTAGCCAGTGTGTCCTCCAGAAGCAAGGGTACCATTTAAATAAGAGTGCAGGCACGTTCTGCACATGTATTACAGAACGTAAAGCATAATAATAATTAAATAAAAAAAGAAAAAAGAGAAAAGTAGTAAAAAGAATATTTTTTTAAAAGTGTAGGCTATGAGATTTAACAGCTCTGCCAGGACCTTAGCACCTGACTTCTGAATTCTAGCACCATGTTCTTTCCACTCCAAACTATTATCGCTCATGATCTGGCTCCCCTCCTCATTTCTGGCTAGCCCCAGCTGCCCTTTGCTTCTGCTCATATTCCTCCCCTTGGCTCTTGTTAGCTTTTTTTGAATCGGAGGCAACACAGAACAACCTTGCTGAACACAACAATGTTGGTTCATCAGGGAAGTTGGGAAGCAGAACAGCTGTGGACACAATTGGTGCCTGCAAGCCCTTTCGGCAGCGTCCGGCTCTGTTTTGAATGAGTCTATACTTTTCAGGAGGCAATACCTATTCCTTTTTAGCCCCACACAACATCTTCAGAACATTAAGTTGCCGTTAGCTGCGGTGGGGCTCTGGAAGCCATTTTTGTCAAGCACAAGAAGTTTCTATTGCCCTGGCTTCCAAAGACTCAGCGTTTCCAAAGCACACTCTGTCTCCCCCACTCGCAGCTAAAAAATCTGCCCTTTAAAATATCTCCTCATGAAGTAGGAAGCGCCACTTTTGACCATGTCTGCTGACATGATTTTTAATCTGGGAAAGAGTGTGAGGAGCTGACTGGAAGCATCACTTTCTGGGATGTCAGAGTCTCCGTGGAAGAGCCCTAATTAAGGACTCAGAATGACTGACAGGTGGTGGAAGCTCGAGAAAGCACATTTGATATGTAGCAGAAGACAGCCTCTGAGTTGCAAAAAAACCTGGCAATTGGAGACCTTGAAAAACTTTTGTAAGTAATGCTATAGTTTTGTTCTTTAGCTAAACATTTATAAAAAGGCTCTGAAATGACTGCCAAATGAACTCACAATTGAAATTGTTTGACTCTTAAATGACATGTAATTTGGTAATAAGTTTGTTATTTCAAACTTAATGGAATTTATTTTCTGTTCTATGTACAATCTTGCTGAAGTCTTTGAAGGTATTCTTCTGGGGTTAGGAATCTGTGAACAGGAAAGTTTGATTTACCACCGTGGTTCATAAAAGTCCGACAGGAAGGCAGCTCTCCAAAATGGGAGAGGGAGAAAGAAAATTAACATGTACAACATTCCTTCTTAGCTCTGCATTCATACATTCTTCATCCCATTTCGCTATTTTGAGGTGAGAATGAGGTCATTTTTAAAAAAATTCAAATTCCATGGCTACGAAATCCCATCCACTAGCACGAGAAAAGCCTTTTCCCAAGCCTCACCACGAAGGCGCTCAGACTAGTCAGTCTCCCTGAGCATCAGTTACCTCATCTCTAAAATGGGGTAATATCAGTGAGCACCCATGCACCCATTTCCCATGTGGCAGAGACTGGGCTAAGTTTTTCGCCCATGTTTTCTTGTTGAATAAGAACAATGTTATAAGTCTTTGCCGCATGGAAAATGATTAATAAATATTATAATTATTCTCAAGCACAGTAGGATGGTTCTGTTTACATGTGTTCAGAGGAGAGACAATCAGAAACCAGCGACATTTTTGCTGCAATAAGGTGACGCTGGTGGTCCCAAGCGTCAGGGCTGTTGTCTTTGGCTTCAGTGTGAGAAGGGAGCTCAGAGGTTTGGCAACAGCCTCCCAGGTGTAGGGAATAGAGGAGGATCCGTCTTCTCTATTGATGCATATAGTCTTCCAGGTGTAGGGAATAGAGGAGATACCTTCCCAATTGGTACATTTGTTCCACATCACTCTAGGCCTGAGATCCAAATAACACAGCTCTTTTAAAGCATCTTCCAAAAGAACTTCCTGTGATGATGGAAATATTCTATATCTGGGTGGTCCAATATGATAGCCACTAGCCAATATGGTAGCCATTTAGTTCTTGAAATGTGGCTAGTTGTCTATAGAACAAAAACATTTTATTTAATTTTAATTGATTTAAATTTAAATTCTAGTTGCATGTAGTTAGTAGGTACTGCTTTGAACACACCTGCTTTAGGGATATAGCTTTTTTTTGCCTAAACCACACATACATGTACACAAACAAACCTAGCCATTTTCTTGATATGTATGCCCACAAACCAGGTGGAAAGGTCAGAAAAAGTTTCAGAGTCAGCTACACGCTGTGCTTAAATTTACTCTCTACCAAGACCAAAGAATCAGCTCTGGTTCTTTCTGCTGCTTCTTGCTGGGGCTGGAGTTCAAGCTTTATAATACGTGGCAGAGAAGCTGGAAGGATCGAACACACTAACAGCCCAGAGGTATTGCAAGCCCAGCCTTCGTCGGCAGGACCCCAGCAGAACATGTTTCCCTCAGCCTTTCCAAGCCGCCCTGTTCAGGCACCAAGACTAGAGGAAGTCCCCTTTGCCTCCATCCTAACACCCACCTTGTTTCTAGCCTCAGGGTGCCTGGCAGCTAAAATTTCGAGCACTTTTGTCTCAAGGTCCTTAAGAGACAATGAGAAAAACAAAACTGTCTAAGGTAGGTATATTTTTCTTTTTTTTTTTTTTTT